AGACGACATGACTAAATGCTCGTGTAAACTGACCGATATGACCTGGGAATTGTACTTTGGTCAAGAATATTCCGACAGATATTTATCCGACAAAGAACTCCTCCGAACGAGTTTTCGCTCGAGGACAATTCAGCGCGATCGTCGCTCAATCACCTCGAAATTTACAATCTGACAGATTGTAAATCTGTCCACCGTGACAAATGTTTTCTCGTGTGAAAAATCACTTCGGAAGAGAGATTCGTTTCTCGAAATCGCGGACGTCCACTTTTAAATTACATGATGGGTTCAGTGAGTACGGTGGATCTCGAGATCATAAGAAAATCGTTCCGTTGCGCAATTGTCGCGATTTATCGTGATCAAGTCGTAATATTTCACATCGCGAATAAATAATTCCTAATGACGAATACCGAAAAGAATCAACGATTTCTCGGTTGTACAGAAGAGAATACGCTTGCGTTATATTAAAAAATATCAGTTACGTAATAATGTAATACTGAGTAAAGTGCTAATCTCGAAATGTGATAAGAACAAATGTTAACGCAATATGTTAACGCAACTAGAGATATTAACGAGCTAGACATAACAACATAGAGAATGACTCGCCAAGAAACGTTCATCACTGTATCATATCATATGATAAATTGAATAAATGATGACTTCTATTGTTGACATGTTAATTTAGCTCTAGTTTATGTAAAATTTATAAGAGTGCTATCTTATCGGTTCGAAACGTAGAAGTTAGCTTCGGATATTTAGTAGTTATTTGTACAACGTCGTAGAACAAAAAAAGCACTGACATTTTTCAATGGTAATTATTGTGCATCTTAATTATTCGGGCATAATGGTAATTGAACGGCAAATTTTTTTCACGATCCTCAATCTTATATAACGGAAAAGTAAATATAAAAAGTAAATCTAAAAAAATTATATTTTAATTTAGAAGTTAAATAATAATTATCATTGCTCATGTACAAGTCGTTGACAAGTTCTTTACTCCGATTTTCTCAGTATTATCGCCAATAACGCTTATTTTTATCATTTAAACCATCGTTTATCGGTCATTATTATTATTATTATTATTATTATTATTATTATTATTATTATTATTATTATTATTACTGATTCAAGTGGGATCTAGAATAAAATATAATTACTTAAAACAAAATAAATAGATTAATTCGATACATTCGTTTATATTCGAACTCACAATACGATGACGAATAAAGACGATTTATGTAAAGTTTTATTGACAGTTTCAATAGTGTTTCCACCTATTCTGCTTACAAAACAAATTATTTGTGGTCGTAGTAGAAAGATCGCTGTTATTCCACAAATGAAAAATGTCTAAGAAAGAAAAATCGTTTTGTTGTACGTACCATTGACTGACGTTCAATTCAGCAAACTGCTAATGCTATTGATTTTCTTTTGTGGCCTTTAGCCTAAAGAATAATACTTAAAAGGCGCACAAAATTGGGCTTCCGGTAACACAAGAGTTTCGATTTAATTTATTTTTTTTAATTTTCACAATCTGAAAAAAACCGAGATTAACGTTAAAGTAACGTTAATCTATCTTAGGAATAGACATCGGCAAAAAGAGCGAGTACGAAATACTATCCGGTATATTTTCCTTCTTTGGTGCGTGACGGGTTTCTCGTTAAGGAAAAATACCGCGCGTATCGGCACCGATGGTCAATTTGTTCGAACCAGTTTTCAGATGGTACGTACCCGAAGTGTGCGTACCATCGACACGCGGTTCTGCGACACGGCGGACTGAATGTAACGATGCCACGACTTGGGATTTTAATAAAAGTCGGTGGGGGAATTCTGCGGATCTCCAGGGTGCCTTACGAATCAGATGTGCGCTCGATGGTCGTGTGCGGAGGACGACAATTCGAGCCTCGAGGATATCGACCTTTAACAAATACAGATTCAAGATATTTGCAAACTGATTCCGTACTGTCTGGCGGTTATACAATTGTTACGTATTTCCTGAAATATCGCAGGCACCATTTTCTTGCCAATCATCGTTCTAATTAAGCGCATTCTCCGCTTTAATTATCAGTCTGCGGTGTAAGATTAAATATATTTATATAAACCAGTTATACACAACACACAATTACACAATTACTACAATTTAATTAATAGTATTTATTTAATAGTTTCGCAAATAAATCTGAAATTTTAATCAAAATTATAAATTTTATTTTTCTTGTTCTTGTTTTCAAAAATAAATTGGGTAAGCGAGAGAATTGCATTGTTATTTTAAATTAAAATTTGAAATGACAGTTAACAATTAAATTAGTTCACAAGTAAATTTTAATGGAAATCAACAAGATTTTAATTTCAATGTTAAGATGCCAGATTCGATAATACAATTATCGATATAATACAATTTAAAAAGAATTTAATTAAAGTCTATGTTAATACTGTGATTTTATATATTAATACTGAATCACGATTAAGTGCATCGAAGTAAAACCGAGTGTTTTCTGTTTTCAATACTAATAATTATAATGCAAACTAATTAGCAATTTTTGCTTTTTT